TAATAACGACTTTTCGGTGTTTTGTCTTTGACTTTTCCTTGATTTGTTTTTCGGAGGGTGTACATGAATTATTGTGAGTGAAGTACCCCTCGGATTTGATTCGTCACGACATGGAGGACGAGGCCGGTGCTCCCCACTTACGAGGTGTGCCTTGGCGCGGGCGCCCATCTGCACGAGGGCGAGCGACGGCAGCAGGACGGTGAGGGCCAGGCCGGCGAGCCTGCAGCAGGTGACCGTGAACAGGGCGAGGTGGAAGGCGGGCCGGCGCACGGGGCGCAGGTCGGCGCGGCAGCCGCGGGCGTGGGGGCCGAGCGCGGCGCAGCAGCGGGCCAGCGCACCTGCGCGGGAGGGGATAACGTCGTCAGGACGGCGTCGTTAGGAAAGTCCGTTCGGACAGTCCGTTCGAACAGTCCGTTCGGACAGTCCGTTCGGACAGTCCGTTCGGACAGTCCGTTCGGACAGTCCGTTCGGACAGTCCGTTCGGACAGTCAGTTCGAAAAATCCATCTGCAGTCTGTCACAAGAACAGCCACCCCTTATACCTCTCCGGGGTGACTGCCGCCGCACGAACAGCTCGATGTCGTCGTCGCCGTCGCAGTCGAAGGAGTAGGCGATGTTCCACGCTTGGCCGTCCTCGCCGAACAGCGGGCGGGGCGCGCCGGCCTCGGCCCCGGGGGCTGCGTAGGCCCCGCCGTTGGGGGCCGAGGCCGCGCCGCCGCCGCCCAGCCGCGCCGTGGCCTCGGGGCTGAGGGTGAGGACGGGGCCGGGCTGTTGTCGCTCGCCGGCCACGTCGCAGTGGACCTCGGCCACCACGGTCGTCCTGGCGGCCTCGGGGGCGGTGACGGCGTGCGGCCCGGGGTTTGAGGGCGGCGCCGGCGCCGGCGCGGGCTGCTCGCTGACGCTGCCGCCGTCGTCCGAGATCTCCGTTCGCGCGTCGGCCTCCGACTCCCGGCGCGGGCCCAGCCTCCACGCCATCTCCTTGAGCCGCTCGTACTTGTCGGGCTGCTCGCGGGCGTCGGCGGGCTCGGGCCTGCGGGCACGCGGCGCGGCCAGCACGAGCGGCGCGAGCAGCAGCGGCAGGCAGGCGGCGGCCGCCGCGCCCAGCGCGCCCGCGGCGCCGTTGCGGCCCTGGCTCAGCGACAGCGCCAGCAGGGGGGCCATGGTCAGCCCCAGCGCGCGCAGGAAGCGGCGCGCGCCCAGCGTCATGCCCGCACGCACGCCCCAGCGCTGGTCCAGCACCAGGCGCGCCGACCGCGACAGCAGGCTGGCGCCGACACCTGCGGACGACGGGAAAGGCAGCCGTGGTGAATGTACCCCACCCCGGGAAATGTTTAGGGATCGGGCGGGCACAAACCACGTGACTTTCGGGGTGTCTAAATATTTTGGGGTTCAAGTGTTCAGGACGATCATTTGAGTAGACTGGGACCCCATGATATTTTTACACCTCGGTACAAATGTCATGGGGTCCTTAGCTTAGACTCAAATGACCGTCCTGAACCTTTTGGAACCCCATGATATTTGGATCCCCCTACAAAGTCACGCGGTTTGTGTGCACGTCGCCTAACAAGTACGCGACGCGCCCGTCACCTATCCGCGCAGGGGTACCTTATCCACTTCAACCCCGTAAACTCGAGCTGAGGGTTGATGACTGTAAACCTAGCAGAGCTATGGAATAGTCGTTCAGGGAAAGCGGGGATCCAATCCGTAATAGTATGACGATGACTCACCTGAAGCGATCCCGGCGCCGATGCCGGCCAGCGTGGGTAGCAGCGGGGACTGCGGGGCGACTAGGGCGCCCAGGGCCGTGAGGAACATGCCGCCCGACAGCAGCAGCGACCCCACCAGCGAGCACAGCCCGGGGAGGCCGTGGACAGCGCCCAGCGTCTCACTCCAGGGGTCTGCGGCCGTAACACGGCGTCAGCTTAGTATCGGAAGGACTACCTTTCCCACGGCTCACTGGCTGAGTTTAAGAGCCAGACCTGATAATGCATAAATGCATGGAAACTTTTTCCGTGATAAATTTTACCTCTCTTTGAGAAATATTACCCACGGGGTGTTCTTATTTGGACATCAAAAACACATACAATTACCACAACAGGCTCGAATAGGCGCCGTGAAAAACTTACCCCACCCCCTGAGAAAGACATTACTTGCGCACGATGCCACTTATCAGTGGCGGTGCGGTGCGCCTCTGTCACCCACGCGCCGCCTCGGCCCTACGGCCTGCGGGTGACTCAGACTACGCAAGGTACCCACTCACCTGCGACACTCCAGGACGCCGAGAAGAGTACGGGCGTCCACAGGAAGCCCGTGTTCTTGAGGTCGAGCAGAGACGCTGCGGTGGCGCTGGCTGCTGCTGTGGTGGCTGCGGAGGCTGCCGAGGCTCCGGAACGTCCCCCCCACGTGACAAGCAGAACGCCCCAGTAGCACTGGAGGCTGGGCACCGCGGCCTGCGCGACGGGTCAGAGAGGGGGAGTCAGTCCGGATTAGGGATTTTAATTTCTCAGGAATTTTTTAGGCAATAAGAAACAACAAACTCTCAATTTCTTTCTGAACACTTTCATTTTTCCTGGAAATATATTTCAAAATTTCCCCCCTTTTTCTGGGAAAGTTTCCGTTTGTTTTTAGCAATTTTGGGCTTTAAAATTCCGAGCCAGGCCCTCCCGTTGCGTACGCACCTCCAGCACGAGGGTGATGAGCAGCGCCAGGTAGGCGTCCTTGCTGGGCGGCGCGGCCGGGTGGAAGTGGTGGATGTCGCCGTCCACGGGCGGCAGCGCCGTGTCCAGGGCGAGCGGCGCGGGCGCGCGGCGGGCGTCCCTGTCGCGCTCGGCGTCCCCGGCGGGGCCGTCGGCGGCGACGGGGTCCATGCCGTTGACGGCGGCGGCCCCCGGCTGGTCGCGGGACGTCATCGCGGTGTCGCAGAGTCCGGGACGGTGGGAGTGGCGGCGACGGCGGTGATCCCCATGTCACCCGCCGGGACGCACTGGGAGGTGCGGGACCGGCCCTGCCAGCTCCGGGGCCTCTCGGAGCTCTTGCCCTTATCTGTCGGCGTGGTGCGCGTCAGCGGACGTGCCGGACCCGGTGTGTGTTCCGCGAGACGTACAGGCGGGCCGCGGACGCGAGCAGTTCAGCCGTCGTCGCCGTGCCCTCGCCGTCGGGGAGGTGTCGTCGCCGGCCTCGGTGCTCGGTACCTAGCCGCAGTGAGGCACGGTGGGTGCGGGCAACTTGCAGCGAGCAAGGGCTTATCAGCGGCGGAGACAACGGGCCGCTATCTTATCGGATTCACGGGCGGACGGGCGGACGGGGCGGACGGACAGACCCTACGTGCTGACGGCGTAGGGCGGAGAATCCGTAACGTAAGAACACGCGGAAAAGGGGGGGGGGAGGGGAATATTTAGACGATGTGTGAGAGAGATGGCCCGTATCCCAGGTATGTATGTGTGTGTGTGG